TGCAATCTGTTTGACTTCTCCTCGGCAATTCTGATGTCTAAGTTTCCCTTCAGAGCAAACCAGAGCATGGTTGGAGGCCAGGTTGTGACTTCACTTACATACTTTCTCTTGGGAGCAAATTAATGTAAAAACCAGTGCAGAAGGGTGCCCTTTGGGTAATCTGGGTGTAGGACTGTAATGGAGTATGGGGAGTTCTATACTCTCTTCCTGAATAATCCTTTAAGAGCTAACAATAGTATAATTTTCTGCTACTATTTTATTTATTTATATATACACATGGATTCATTTTACATTTGTTGCTGGTAAAATGCCAGATTCCAGTCTCACTTAAAATCAATGTAGAGTCAAAGCAACTCTGTTATCTAAAGATTTCTGCTGAGAAAGGAGACAGCAAAGACATTTAAAAAAGAAATAATAGGTTGTAACCATTGGGATGCCGATATCTCTGCTTTTCCATGCTTTGCATCTGTTAGCAATGTCCCTTTTGGGCTCAATAGAAAGCCACCCTCCAACTGCTGTAGAACAGTATTGCAGAAAAATGGTGTAAAGCTTCTTGTAATATAAAACTGATATTGGGCCCTAAGATACAGTTTTACAGGGATGTAAAACTGATCTCATTGCTGCTGTATGAAAAGCTGGTGGTTACGAATGATTGTTGCTTATCTTCATGATATGAAAAGAGGCCAAAAGCCAAGAGTTTTTGTCCTTCAGGAAATGCTGTAAAGGTCCTGTGCTATGAAAGTGGCAATGTTATTTTTGATTTTGGCAAGTACAAGATGAAACTCAGATTGACTTCAGCACGTTATTATTATTATAAGATAAATAAAAAAAAAAAAAAGGTTAAGGAAGGCTAGTCAACCATTCACTCTTTAGCTTTTGTATGAAAAATCATGAAACTGGAGTTGCAAATATATATTTGGTAGCATTTTTTATGTAGGGTTTAGTCCTGCACTCATGTCCATTTATGAAACTTCCTGTATGTAGTGTGCCTGCAGGATTGAAACGCTTATTTCTAAGGATTTTAAGTAGTTTCTTTCATACATATAAACGGCTAAACATCCAGGATGCTACTTGTAGAGACACTTTTAAAAAGTATCAAATTAAAAGTCCCCACAACCAATTCTGTTGATGGAATTGAGACAAATTCAAGATTCAGGACTTTAAGAAATCTCTGAGAAATGGATTGGTATGTTTCTTTTGCTGAATTATCTATTTTCAATCAAAATATGTTTACAGCTGATTTTGTGCTAGCAATTGGGACATTATGCCTGATTCCTTTTGCATGTAAAAGTCCAGCTTTACATATTTTCATTTTTCAATTTTAATTGTTTTTTTTTCATATGTTTGGCATTTTTGTTTGGGTTTGTTTGGTTTTGTTTTGTTGTTGTTTTGTTTGAGTCATTTTTCATGGCTTTTTTCTTTTAGTTATTGTTGTTTTATACAAAGTGAAGAAGATTTAATTTTGGAACTCTCTTTTGTCTTCTGGAAAGCACACTGTACATCAAGGGAAATGTTAGTCTGGAGAACCAGAGAAGGACAGCGATTAAAGGCTTGAGCAATATTAGTACTTTTTTCAGAGGACTCTGAACTAAATGTAGTGCTTTCCAAAACAATCGCCACAGTTTTCTATACCTAATATTTGCACATATTAATAATCTACTATATGCTTGACTTAGCAGTATGGATGTAACACATCAATCTATCCGATTCAGTATTCTCTCTGGAACGGAATATATCCTTGGAATATCCTGCTCTTTTTGTCACCTCAGTTTTAACTTTTTCTATAACTTGATCTGAAAATGATGACCAGCTCGAAATCTATATAACTTGAAGGCTTTATCAGTAAAACCCAGCAGAGTTATATTTCTCTGTGGCTGTGATGTTGAAACCTGGGGAAAATCAATTTTTCCTTTTGCTGAATGGTATATCTGAAGCATTTAAAAAGGTGAATGAGTGTGCTGAGGGCCTGTCATTCTCAAAGTACTTTCTTATGCAACGTATGTAGGTACATCTGCCTGTTAGCCCTGAGAGGCTGTGTGTGTTTGATGCATTGGATGTTGTGTCAGCAGGATGGAGCAAAAGAGGAGATGAGGTATATCAGAAAGTAAGTTGATAGCAAATGGTGTTTTGAACAGCCTTTATCCCCTGGTGTAATATATTATGGAAATAATGATTCTGACAAGTGATTCTTCTTTGTAACCTGAAGTGATACAGTAGGGATTATGCAGGCTCAAGTCATTCAAGACTGGGTACTTAGTTGTCTAGAAATGTTGTAAGAAGTGTCTTTGTCGTGAAAGACTTTGTTAGAGATGCAGTGGCAAGAAGTAGATTACTAAAAAAGGGAACTGAAATAGTTGTTGTTTATTATTATTGTTGTTGTTATTTGTTTTGCTAGAAGTGTTATTTTTAATCCTGTTTTTATAGATTTTGTATTGTAATTTATTACCCTATTTTATCTTGTATTTAAGGATGAATTATATGCTTTAACTCATTTTCATGCTTGCTCAAATATGGTTGTTTCAAAACCATAAAAAGGTTGTTAATTAATTAACATAGGTAGACAATGAGAAGTTGGCTAAAGGTTTAAAAACAGGCATCAAGAAGCCAGAACAAATAAAATATGAATGCAAAACCATCTGTAAAAAAGCCATGGAGAGAATACAGAGTTAACTAATACTCGATGTATGTGTTTAATAAAAGGAAACAAGTTCATTTTGCTTCATTAAAAAAATGATTGCTGTGGCCAATGGAATGAAAAGAAGTGATAAGCAAAACCAAAAAGTAGCAAATGTTGAGAGCAAACTCCAGTGACCTAGGTAATATAAAATTGTTTCATGATAAGTGCAAACATTAACAATTTTGGACATCTAAAAATGTAAGATTAGCAATTTGAAAAACATTTATCTAGATGAGATTTAAAATTATACATGAAACATAATGACCTCTCTGAAATTCATTCAGGATGCTGTGGTACTCATTTAGACAAAAAAGACAACTAGTTCATCATGGAAAAGAAAACTAGATGGAGTAAATTAGTTTGCTGCATTCCAGAGTCTTAGCTAAAACAAAAAAAAAATATGTTACACTAATTAAAGAGTGAAAATCTCTAAGCCTTTAGAAAGCGAGGAGAGTGAAAGAGAATGATCCTGGCTTTGTGCATCAACCCATGGTGTTTGCCTGATACAATTCTAAGACTTTAGGCTGCCTAGATTAAGAGATCTTCAACTTTGATTACATTGATTATGTACAACATAATAGTTCATAATGAAAATTATCATACATGGCTTCAATCCCTAATTTCCATGGACTGTTTTAAGTTTTTAAAAAAAGTTAGAAACTTTAAAATTGCATTAAGAAGTTAACAATCAAATTTTAATTGTTTAGAGGATTATTTTCTTGATTGTACCATAGATATTTTTATTTTAATCATTATGTTTTTATACTTAATGATACTGGAGTGTGCATTCTATATGTTTTATGTTATTTAAATTACCTGGACAAAGTGAAGTTCACCTGCTTGTTGCTTGGGATAAGATTTTTGTTTTATCTGAACATCATCAGGATCTGTACATTATTTTACGCAGTGAAAGTTTTATATACAATTCTGAAATATGGTGGAATTTTTTCTACCTAGAAAAAGATTTAAAATTTTCCGAATTTTTGTTCAAACAAACATTTCAGTATAGAAGCAGTACTAGATTCTGTGCTTGAAAAAGATATACATAAATTTATCTCTAAATTAATCTCTAATATCTCTAATCTATCATCTCTAATAAATTTGTCTTAGACACCTTTCTTGTACCTGAGTCTGCTCCAAAACAATGTCTTGTACATGTAAATGTAATTTTGCTTTTAACTGCAGGGGGCTGAGGATCAGATCCTCTCTATCTTTTGCATGAGCAAAATTGATTTCCATTGAACTGAATGGGAACAAGTTCAAGTTCTGCATGGTTCCAATACCATAATTGTTTTTTTTAAGTACTAGAGTTTTACAGGACTTCTGTTCTATATTCATACAGGCAGTATGTATGTTTGAGGAAAACTGTGATGTTTGGCCTCCTTTGGTGCTGCACATCAGCAAAATATCTGCTGTCTTTTTTGTTAAACATGAGATAAGCTGATAAAGCAAGTTACTTTTTCAGTCTCTCACATTTTATTACATTCTCTCTTAAACATTTTATGTGAGAATCAATGGCTCTGTAATGCCTGTATATTGAGTTGTTTTGTTTTGTTTTGTTTTTTTTTTAATTTCAAAAGGTCCTTGTTTGTGGGTGATGTTTATTAGAAAACTCAATGTATATGTGTGCATGTATATATGTCTCTGTAGAGTGAGGCAGAGGAAGACAGTGTCCCCTTTGTTTTATAAGGTCCACTTCTTAAATTGTCTCGCACTTTCGAAACTGCCAAGACCAAGTATGGTAACTTCAGGTCTAAAGAGGGAATGTCCTGGAAAGGTTTGAACTAATGAAAAAGAGTGGGCTTAGTCTCTTGACAAGGCTGTTTTCATCACCAAGTCATGTCATAATCAGATAGTGTGACAGATTGTTTTCAAGCAGAATTGAAGTCAGTCATATCAAATCAGCCTAAAATGTGATTTTGGTTCTAAAATATTATTTTTCTTTTTATGTGCATTTCAGAAACATATGCAATAAATATTTAGACTCTTAATTTACTACACATCAATCTAAAAATCTGCTTTACTATCATTCTCAGAATTAATTTGCCTAATTGTTATTCCTACCCCATCAATCACAGTTTTTCACTAACTTGAAAAATACCACTTTTTGCTGTTTGCACTTTAGTTCAATTTCTACTCTAAGTTCATGAACAGTAATACGGTACCGCTTGAATATTCATTAGCTTTGTATTGTGAGTTATGAAAAGGTGCTTTCTTTTACCTTAATGAAAGTGGCTCAGTATGGGGTGGATCAGTAATGACATTTGATTTTAGGCACCCAACAAATTTGCTTTTTATTTATTGACACATCTTGTCCAAACAGCTCCCTCGCAAGTTAGTGGAGTAATGAAAGAAAGAGTGCTGCAGAGGAGCGTGGAGCTTTCCTGGCAGGAACCAGAACATCCCAATGGAGTCATTACTGAATATGAAATCAAGTATTATGAGAAAGTAAGTGCTTAGATTATCTGTAATGTACAGCAATGTGTTGTTTGCTTTATCTTGGCTTGCTGTGTTGTGAAACAGTGTTAAAGGCATCAGCTATCAACTATCCTGTCTCTCCAAAGTCGGTGATTTTGTTTATTTTTAATAACTAGCTAAATCCTGCAATTATTATTGCTATCATATGTCTCATATATTGTATTTTGGCATACTAAAAATGAAATATACTCTTGATATCTGCCTTTTTTTTTCCTTTTTTAAAAATTGTTAGGTTGGGCTTGGATATTTTACTGGTATACTGTTGTTTAGCTGTCTCCTCTACACCGTGTTTGAAGCTTGTTTCACATCCCTCTGTATCACTGTAACTCTACTCTTGAGATGGTGTATCAAATACAACTCCTGACTGCATTTCGTATTTCCATATGAGCTGGGCAGCTTCGACTTGATGTCTGAAAATTTCCAAAACACTTCCTATGGTTTCAGCAAATAAATATTTCTTATTTGTCCTTTAAAAAAAGACCAGCATTGTGAAATTTATTTTTCATTTGTTCTCTCAGCACAATAATGAATTGAAGGCTGCTTTTCAATAGTAGATGAAGTGATCGCTGTTTCTGGTAGAGTGAAATTGCAATCCTACTGATGTCAAGTCGGAGTTTTGCCATTCATTTCAGCGTGTCTAAGGCTTCATTCATGATAACTTTGAAGTACTTCAGAATAAAAAAATTCTGACAACCGTAAGGTGGATGAAAGCAGAGTGAAGGCAGGTTGTGCAGCTATATGTTTGTCATGGGACCCTGACTAAGTGTGTCTACTCTAGATTCCCTGGGAAATTGACTGCATAACATGAGATACTGTTAATTTTTATAAAACATTCTGTGAAAAACAAGGAACAAATTAAAGTAAAAAAAAAAGAATTAACAAAGGAGCCCCTTTGTGATCCCTCATGAAGACATTTTATGTTTGCAAACAAGTTAATAGTACCTCTATATCAAAAAAGACCATGTCAGTTTAGGTAACACAGAATTAGGCAAATTCAGACCAGATTGGATCTAAGCTCTTGTGTCATATTTGATTTTCAGTATTGAATTACACAAATATACTTATCAAAAGATCTTTATGTGATTTGGGAAAGCAATACTATGTTTATTTGTTAATGCTAACTTCCAGTTTAAGTTGTTGGCTCTAAAGACTTATGACAAAATTTTATCATAACTGTAAAGATAATTAAACAAGTCTTCTAAAGAAATTTTATTAATTAAACAAGTATTTTAAAGAATTTTTACTAATTTTAGCAGGTAATATTTGTTCTGACAGCATTTGTGTGTGCATACACACATAACTAAAGTTCATATATTTAAAAAAAGTTTACATATTTACAAGGGCAAAACTGTCCTCTGCACAAAAAGAAAAAAAAAAAAGCAAACCAAAACCTTGGAATTTTTTTAATATACAGAGCAGTTTCTAATCTGTTTAAATACAATAAATAATTTAAATATGTAGTGTAAAATAACAGAAAAATTATCAATATACTATTTTTTTGGACAGTGATAGCTTTTAGAATGTGGCTTTTAGAATATTATTTTCCCTATATATTCATGTTACTTTAAATAACCAGCAGAATTTCATTGCCAGTTTGCTGTGTTTGCAAAGAGAAGAACTGATGTTAAAGTTCTTTTGTAATAGAAGGAAATCTCCTAGTATTGTCCTTATTACAGTGAAATTAATAAGACAATGCAAAGCTCATTCTACAGTCACAGATAAACTGGGCTATATATCTTTAACTGAGACAATTTTTGCACAAATACTTAAATGTCTGTCTTCCTTCCAAAATAGTGAAGTTCAGCTTTAAAAGAACTCCCTAATCTTACTCAGAATGAGAGAGGCTGCTTAAGTTTTGTTCTACCAGTTTAAAAGAAAAGAAAAAAAAGATCTGAACTTTCAGATCCCTTTAGAGCCAAATTAAATCAAACATTTCTGTCCTTCTGAAATACTCTGATAAGTGGTTTTTTCCACCTCTCACTTCTGGCTAGGACTGGAATGGAAACTGCCTGAAATCTCCAAAGTAAGCCTGTCCTGTGAGATTTCTATCGCAGGTTATTTTTATTTCTTTGTTATTTATTTATTTTGAATGCAAGAACTGTTGGCAATTCAAATAAGTCTTATTTATGCATCAAAACCCAAACTCTGAAATTCCACTGTGAATTACAGTCCCAAACCTGTTTATGGTTTCCTTACACTTGTTTCTCGTCTCTCAAGCATTCCTGTTCTTTCTCACATACCAACACACATTCCACCATGGTCCTCACTTACAGACGATTTAAATCCTCTTGGAGAAGATATGAAAAAGTTGTTACTAGCCAAGACTATTGAGGCTTGCTCAAATAATTGACTGGGCAAGAACAAGGAAAAGCCATTACTGAATCTCAGAAAAGAAATCATATATGTTCTGTTTAACCTTGTATTTCACCAAAAGCCTTTGCTGCTTTACTCACTGCAAAGGGGAAGGTTCTCCATAAATTTTAGCTGGTGAAGTACTATTGAAATGAATACAAATTTATTCCTTCCCTCTGTATCTGTCTCATTAGCACTGCTGCGTACAGCTCATGCTTCTCTGGTCATGTGGTGCACTCAGATGGTTGGTTAATTCATCTCTTCTGCCCTTCAAATCAGGGTTGCATCTGCCACCAAAAATCAACAGGGCTGCACATATCTATGCTGAAAGATAATCTGTGTCAGTAAATGTGATGAATAAGTAGGGCTTTTTGAATACTGTAATGATCTGTGATACAGCTTTTGTACTATTTGAAAGTGAGTTATTACTCATAGGGTTTGTAATCTTACAGCTTTAAATTTGGGGAATGTCATACTGAGCTTCTTTCCCTGAGTTCTCCTTTTTAACATAGAGTCTAAAACGGAGAAAAGACTAAAAGCCAAAGGGAAAAAATCTAAAGTGAAAACTGAGCTAAGGACCTCAGAAATTGTACAAAATCCAACCAATTATACATTGGCAATATTGTATTTGTTAAAGGTGTTGGAAGAGTAAAATGTCAAAGTAATGATGTCAGCTGGAGTGTTGCCATTCATTTCACGATGTCTGGGACTTCATTCATGATAACTTTGAGGTACTCCAGAAATAAGAAAAAGCTGACAACAAAAACCAGGTTAATGCAGACTGAAGACAGGTTGCACAGCTATATGTTTGTCATGTTCTTACCATGAAAGAGCAAATTTCCCTGTCCTTGAACTGTTTAGACCCTACAGATTCCCCTGGAAATCTGCATTATTTCTCATCAAAATTTCACTAAATGTAATCAGAGCTAAAAAAGCAATCATTTTTTGTCTGTATGTTTTATGAGCAACAATGTGAGCATCCCATTTGAATTTTATGTTACACTTAGAGCTCTTCATTGCATTGACAATGTTTTCTAATACTCTACAGAGTATGCTTTATTTTTTATGTTTGGGGAAAAGAGCATTCAGCAAATTGAAATAAACTGCCCAGGCTGGCTGTCAGTTGCTGTTGTGCAACCATGATAAAATCTGATCTGTAAATGTCATTTAATCTTTGTCTTATTGTTTCCAGGATCAAAGGGAGAGGACCTATTCAACACTGAAAACCAAGTCCACTTCAGCTTCTATTAATAACCTAAAGCCAGGAACAGTGTATGTTTTCCAGATTCGTGCTTTTACTGCTGCTGGTTATGGAAATTACAGCCCTAGACTGGATGTTGCCACACTGGAGGAAGCCACAGGTAAGCAATTAGGTTTACAGGAAACTAACCCTTTCTGTAGAGGTAGTAAGTAAAGCAAGAAAGGCGTTTTAAGCAGTATAATTACAATTAGAAGGAATGCAGTTATACAAGAATGTGGATTTTTGTAATTGTACTTTGAAGGATGAGCTTCAATAATTTGTTTTACTATAGAACTGAAAATTAGTCTTATAACTGTCTGGAGGAGATTTGTAGTATATCAGATTCATCTCCTCTGCTGTCCTTCTAACATAAAGACTTTTTTTTTTTTTTTTTTTAAATTCAAATACACACTTCTTTCACCCCAAATAAGAAGTGAGTAGTGATGAGCTGAATAACTCAACTAGATTCTTCTGTAACTGGGGAGAAGGAAGGAGGAGATTTCAACCCACAGAGGCTTCTCTGGGTCATTTTTTCCATTTGATTTCCTGAAAAATAATTTGGTAATTTTGTGTATGTATGTGTCTTGTTTAAGCTTTAAATCCATCTTTAGCATATTTTGAATTCATTGGCAATGAATTGTGCCCTTATTTGCCTAAAAATCATAGTGATACCTTTTTTACTCACCAGTGTAGTGCATGCATGTTTAGAGAAAACCTTCCACATTTTGCGTCTTCAGAAACAAACTCTTCCATCAGTGAGACCTGGCAGCTGTGAGCCCATTCTCGGGAACTGTCTGTGTTCCTGGCACCTCCACCACTCTGCTGCAGACCCAAATTTGGTTACCCTGTTTTGGAACATTTGCTCCAGAATTGGAGCTGGGAATACACAGCCTACAAACTCAAAGGGTATGGATGCCGTACCCTCTCTGCATTCCATGCAGCATGTCTAAGGGGCAGACACACATTATTGCATCTTATTAATTGCAGCCAGGTGTCGCCTGAACAATTTGTGGGCATTCTTAAAACACAGTTGTTAGGTCTTGATTCCACCTTAGTTTCACACAGAATATAAAAACTATAAATAACGAATAATACTGCATATCTAATAGACATAATTGAAATAGTAATTACCATAATAGCAGCAATAAGCTGTTATTACTAATATTATTAGCTCTGTGTCTAATAGCGTACTTTCCATCTGTAGAGTTCTGCTTTTGGAAGAGTCAGTAGCAGAATCCCCATTTTGCAGAATGGGAACCTAAGGTACAGCCAGAAGTAATTTCTTATTTTGAGTAGTTTTCTGGAAAACAAATTAAAAGTCTGTCATAATCAGTCATAAGTTTCTGCTAATTAGCTAATTTATTGTCCATAGTGGTTTAAAATTAGTTTTTCAAAATGTTTCCCCAACATTTCCTTAATTATCTGCATATTTTTTATAAACTAAATGTAAGCATTCTGGTAGCTGCTAAGATTAGCAATGATAATTTCAGAGGTAAACAGTATTGACTGGAGTTTGGTCAACATATGGAAGATTAGGAAATCCTATAATAAATGCATCACTGACCAAGCTCCTGTACCCTTTTTCTCACTCAGGTGGTGAAAAAATGCATATAAACCAGAAAGATGCTTTGCCAGCATACACAGCAGGTTTTTTTTAATCACAAACCAGCTTTGTGTTTTGAGATGCCATGTAAAATGTCCTGTGTTTTCATTAAAGAAAATTTTAAAAGTGTCATATTTTCCGTTAACTTGAGATGACGTTATAAAATATAATTCATATCAAGGATAAGCTTCCACAATTTCCCATATACAGTTTTCAGAAATAATTGTTGGTAAAAAGATAGTAAATCTCATTAAATTCTTCTAAAATACTTTTACATGAAAGTATTTGTTTCTCATATTTTATTTATAGCTTTATGAAAACTTGTGGACTAATCAAATTAGTCTTTTGTTAGCATTTTAAATGAAGACATTTATTGGATCATTTTTAAGAAATATGCCTCAAGTGAAGTACTGTACTGTTGAACACTAAACCAGTATTATGCCACAGTTTGGAGGCATTATCTCCTCATTATTCCAGTGGATTTCTGAATGCAGCTTTTAAAAATTTCTAAGTGTTTCAAGAGGAAAATATGCACATATATTATGCAAGAATATATAATGACCATCACAGTTGGTAGTCATGTTGCCTGCGTGGATTTCTCCTGATACTTAACTGGTTGGCACTTTTGGTTGATGCTGTTAATTAAGTAGATCTTTGTATCATGCTTCATTTTCTGAATTGTGGCAGAAACTGCATAGCCACCTTTCACTATTTGAAGAACTAACATCCATTATAATATTACTGATATGTAAAGTATACATATTTTATTGGAACATATCCTGTATGGAACATAGGATATTTGTTGGAACATAGCCTGTATTGGAGCATTTCATATATGTGGGTTTTGCATAAATATTTATGTAAAAATTTCATAATTATGAAGTAAACATGCTTTTTAAAATCAAAGTATTTCTATTATATACTGTGTTTGCCACAGTTCAAGTCAATTACTCTAGTCATTGTATTTTTTGTTGTCTGGTTATCAGAGACAGAAATCCCTCAGGAAAAACACACAAATGCATAGAATATCACTTAAGTGGCAATTTTATCTCTTGGTTCACTAAAGTATTTAAAAGTCAAGTTAAATGGCTTATGGCCAGTGGACCTAAAGATGATCCTGTGGTTTTTGTAATTGAAGCAGATTTTTTCACTTACAGAATCACAGAATCAATTAGGTTGGAAAAGACCTTTGAGGTCTTTGTGTCCAATCTTTGACTTTGTTATGGCTCTCACTCTTAAAGTAAAAGTACTCAACACAACCTGGCATGACAAAGTCTTTACTTTTTCCTTTTAACATGAATCAGTTTAAATCAAACAAACCAAAACAGTATGCATATGTATAATTTATTTTTAATGTCTGAAATAACAATATTACACAATTTTATAGAAGGCATAAAGCATATTTATGAAGGCATATTTACGAAAGAAATATTTGGTGTACATGACTCCAATTATCATTGAAGCTTTCACGATGGACTTCACCAGAAATTTTTTTTTACAAATCATACTTTCGGGTTGCTTGTGTGCTGAAAGGTTGCTGGAGCAGCAGCACAGCATTTTCAGCTGATATACATTTTAAATTGTCCAAGGTGTTTATATATCCATTCTCCATCACTACAACCATGTATTTAAAAGGTGTTTTTCATTAAATTAGGCACTGTGCATTGGATGTGCACATATCATAGCAACAGATCAGATATCAGCCCACATACAAGCTCCCTGTCTCACCCCATGTGTTTGAGCACAGTTTAAGCAGAGTTAAGGACAGACTTCTCTGTCCTGCTGCTGATTCCCTGTCATCACCATTGGAGCAGCACCAGTGACACCAGTGACCATGCAAGGCACTCCCTGAAAGGGTCTTCTGGATCACAAAATCATCCCTCTAAGAACACTCTAACATCTTTATTTCTGCCAAACCACAGAGATCATTCCAGAAACTGGGTTCTGTTTTACCCTTACACTAACAGAGTTCATCACACGGAAGAGAGGATCAGCAGAGTACCTGAACAGAGTCAAATATCTTAGAATGCTTTCACTGAATTCGTACCAGGCCACGCCCACAATCAAACCATGGGTTTTTTTAAAGATGTAAAATCGCATCATATAATACATTGCATCCCACCTATCTTACCAGTTGGCCAGTGTACCGTGTCCCAAACATTTTCCAGAGTCCAAAAAGCATCCTCTGCTTGCTTTCAGAATGTGCCAGTTTCCAAAATCTGTGAGGCAGTTACACAGAGCAACCCACTCACATATGTCAGCCTCTATGCTCTCATCTTGGCTACTGGATTAGATGACAGGCTAGGCTGGGGATTTTTCCAAACATTTTTGATGGATGAAGCTTCACACCCTGGCCACTGTGACAGAATGCTACCTCTTCTTCACTTCCAAGTGAGGTTTGCACTGAAGTTCAAAGAGAGAAGGGAACAGTTTAACTAAATGCTGTATTTTACAGAAATTTGACATTCTTTGGGATTGTGTGTTCTGATGGCCTGATTGTGTTATAGGAACTGAGTATTACTTATGCACCTGCACTCATGCACAAGACAGTTAACACTGATTTCCTAGAAGTACCATGAGTGGGATGCTGCCAAGCTTCTGCCAAGCCTGCAGAAGCATCCTACTGACCTTGGTATCTCAGAAAGTTGTAGTTACTCAAAGATAAGCCTTCGTTCTTTTCAGGTAAAGAGTAATATTAATAATGTGACCTTTCTCAACTGCATTAGGTAGAATATAAAAAAATACAGAGTTTCTTTAGGAAATAAAATTTAAGGGGATGTCTATGTGTGTGTAATTTTCCTCTAGTGTAGATTATTCTAAATCTGTGTAGTATAATAAGGGGTTTGTTTTGGGGTGGGGGGAGGGAGAACAGTCGGTACAGGTCAGTGTCAGTGCCAAAATAAATCATGTTGATTGGCTCACTTCTCCCAAGAAAAAAATGATTTATTTGTTTCTATGGGAACCTCTGAAGTCTGCAACAGGAACCCATACCACTGCCAGTAGTAATTGTCATACCACCTACAATTTAGTTAACCAGCTATTAGTTTAGTTTCCTTTTTTTTTTTTTTTTTTTGTTCTCTTTCACCTGTCTGCTCCATTTCGACCATGGGGTGGTTTACCTGGCACCAGGCCTGCTGGAGACAGATGGGAATCACCTGTCTAAAAGGGGAGAAAGGATTCTAGTCTGTGAGTTGGGCAGGCTGATTGACAGAGCTTTAAACTAGGTTTGAAGGGGGGGAAAGGGATAAGACCAAGCTTGCTAGAGATGAGCTAAGGGCAGCATGCCAGTGTTGGGGGTGAAATCGATAGCCCAGTTGAAGTGCATCTGCACCAATGCACGCATCATGGATAACGAACAGGAGGACCTGGAAGCCATCATGCATCAGGAAAGCTATGACATAGTCACCATCACAGAAACTTGGGATGACTTGCATGACTGGAGTGTTGCAATGGATGGTGTAAACTCTTAGGAAGGGACAGGAGAGGAGAGGGAAGTGGTGGGGTAGTTCTGTATGGTAGGGAGTGTTTCAACTCTATAGAGCTCAATGACAGTGATGATAAAGTTGGGTGCCTATGGGTAAGAATCAGGGAGAAGGCTAGCAAGGAATACACCCTAGTGGGCGTCTGTTGTAGACCACCCAACTGGGATAAAGAGTCAGCTGAACTATTCTGTAAGTTGCTGGATGATGTTTCACAATCACTAGGCCTTGTTGTTGTGGGAGACTTTAACTTGCTAAATGTCTACTGGAAACTGAACACAGCGGAGAGGAGGCTGTCTAGGAAGTTCCTGGAGTGTGTGGAAGATAACTTCCTGACACAGATTGTAAGGAAGCCTACCAGGGACAGTGCCCTGCTAGACCTGCTCTTTATGAACAGAGAAGGGCTGGTGGAAGATGTGGTTGGCAGCTGTCTTGGGCATATCCACCACAAAATGATTGAGTTTTCAATTCTTGATGAAGTAAAGAAAGGGGTCAACAAAACATCTACCTTGGACTTCCAGAGGGCAGACTTTGACCTGTTCAGAACACTGGTTCAGAGTCCTTTGGGAAACAACCCTTAAATACAAAAGGGTCCAGAAAGGCTGGACATACTTTAGGAAGGAAACATTAAAGGCAAAGGAGCAAGCTGTCCCTATGAGATGAACCAGCAGGGAAGAAAAGCCTGCCTGGCTAAATAAGGAGCTTTCACTGGAATTCAGGAAAAAGAAGAATTTATGACCTTTGGAAGAAAGGGCAGGCAACTCAGGAAGACTACAAGGATGTCATTAGGTCACGTAGAAAGAAAATTAGAAAGGCAAAGACTCAGCTAAAACTGAATCTGCCCCTGCTGTGAAAGATAATTAAAAGTGTTTTTATAAATACATTACAACAAAAAGAGGGCCAAGGAAAATCTCTATCCTTTTTTGAATGTGGAGGAAAACATTGTAACCAAGGATGAGGAAAAGGCTGAGGTATTGAATGCCTTCTTTGCCTCAGTCTGCAGCAGTAAGACTGGTTATCCTCAAGGCAACTAGCCCTCTTAGCTTGTAGACAGAGACAAGGAGCAGAATAGAATCAATGATCTGGACAAGGGGATCAAGTGCACCCTCAGTAAGTTCGCAGATGAAAATAAGTTGGATGGGAGCATTGATCTGCTGGAGTACAGGAAAGATCTGCAGAGGGATCTGAGTCAATGGGCTGAGGCCAACTTGATCTTGGAAGTCTTCTCCAACCTTAATAATTTTATGACTTTATGATTGTATGATTCCATGTGCCTGATGTCTCCTCCTCTGTCCATCTGCTGGTCTAGATCCTCACTTACAAATCAACACAGCCCCACAGAGTTCAGTAGCACTGTTCTTGTTTAATACAGCTGAGTACATGGCCACCCTTAGTAGATGTCAGGCAAGCAATGTATTTAACAAACCTCAAGGTTTCTCAGGCTAAGTATTTACATACTCAGTTTACATTAATGTGCCATGCATATATTTGCATATATTAATAGAATTGGCATATATTAATGAAAAGAGAAATAATATGGGGCTATTTTAGCACGTAAATTCTCTGAAGCATGGAGGAATCCGTTTTGTATATGTGGAAGCACCTTTTTGTTGCTAACAGAAACAAACGATAAGTAATAATAGCTATTTACAATGATTATTAACAGTAAGAGATTGAAATGTTCTAACTAGATAAGCTGTGTTAATAGAGTTTCAGCTCAAACATTTTTCTTAGAATTAAGACACTATTTTCTTGGAAACCATCAAAGTCCTATCAAGGAGCTTTAGAGGGGAAGCTTGAAGCAGAGTTTTTCAGGGATTACTTCCCTATTGTACCTCCTTACAGGAATATCCAGGTCTTACCTCTTAGGAGGGAGTCAACAACTGAGCAAAACAGAAGGCAACACAGCAGTAGGAGGGAGTAGAAGTGACTGGTGCTAGCGATGCTGGCTTTCAGCTAATGGCTGTACTGCTTTGGCCAAGGAAATTCCAACTTGCCTCCTTTTTATTCAGTGTAGACAATTATTTACTCATACAGCATTGGGTTAAATTTCCAATGAAGGCCTTTCTTTAAAGTAATATTATCAATATAATACTTTCAGATAAAAGCAGTCTGCAACAGTAGACAATCTACAATTCATGGTGATTGACTTAAATTTTTGCAGTCCCTTTGTAGGGATTAATTTTTAACTCATCTCTTCTCTGTGCTCTGTTTGTAGCCACAGCTGTTTCCAGTGAACAGAATCCTGTTATTATCATAGCTGTGGTTGCTGTGGCAGGAACCATCATTCTGGTCTTCATGGTGTTTGGTTTCATCATCGGACGAAGGTATTGCATCTTTCATGGGCATTAGCACGTCTGCCCCCACTCTTGTGAACTCTTGAGACATGGTCTGTTCTGCGATAGTAACTTGCAAAACTAAAACAGAAATAATTTTTAGTATTTCATTTAAATTCCCTTACCAATTATATGGTTTGTCCTATTACTTTGGCAAGACACTTAAATCAAGATGTTCTTTTTGTCCTATGTAAATTTGCTGTGAAAGGAACCCCTAACAGGTTCTTTAACTGTACTCCTCAAAGTCCTTCTTTCTGTTCAGTTTTCTCACATGGAGAAATCTGACACTTTATCTGATCAGCCTTTAAATGACTTTACTTTCAAGAAAAAGAGACACAGCAGTAAGTTTAAGAATACCCTCATGTAAAACAGTGTTCTACTTTCAAGTTTTTTAATCCTCTGTTTTATCTGCCGAAGCTTTTCACCAGAACTAGAATTTTTCTTTAGGATCTGTCCTGGCTGGTATTTGATACAAAAGCCTTTTGATTGCAACTGTTCATGATTTATTTAAAACTCTACTCTCAATAGAATTATAGGTGAAAGTTTCAAAGGGCCTACAGCAGTTAGGTGCTCAGTGCCTGAAAATTCCAACCTGCAGAACTGTTTTTGTCAGGACTTTAGATGTGACAAGTAAATAATTATTTACCAGTAAAACTAATGGTTTACTTTCTTTACAGGCATTGTGGCTATAGCAAAGCGGATCAAGAAGGGGATGAAGAACTTTACTTTCATTGTAAGTGTTTTGCTTTTTTTCCCCTCTGTCAAAAATTCCCAACTGCAATAGTGTAGACAATACCATAGTGTAGACAATAGTAAAATAAGACTCCATGAAAGACAATGCCATGGGAAATTCAAAAACACTGTGTAAATAACAAGCAGGAAGTTAAACACTATAAAAATGTGACCTACAGAAAAGGAATGCAGATTAAAGACAACATTGCTCACACAGATGGTTTTATTTCTATACATGTCTATGATACACTGTTGTTTTCATTCTGCATTTTTGTTTTCTTCTTGTTGCTTTGAATATATGTTTCACATTGTCCTAATGATCCCTCTGAGGTGCAGTATTCATGAGACCTTTGCCTAAATGAGTTTTACCTCAGGCAAACTTCAGATTAAGAAAGTAAGTAACTGCATCACCCTAAAAATGAAGCTGTTCTGCTCAAAAACTGTTTTCTACTGCTGTGAATACTGTACCATCAATATTTACAAAACATAATGTCCTTAAAAATTTAATATTTAATATGAAAAGAAAGAGCATCCACTTTGTTACTGTTTTGTGTTCTAGAATCACTTGCCTAGCCAAGAGAAGCACCTAAAACCTCTCTTATTAAAACTGCATCTACCATCTGAACTTATACTAGAACTCTAGGAAAACACATCTTTCAATAAAACACATCTTTCTTGGGTTAATGACAATTGAAAATGTAAGGGAAATGTAAAGGAAGGATTATGCAAGAATACTTTCATTTTTATCCAAATATTGTTTAAAAAAATTTCTTATTTTAGCCCTATCTCATTTCAGTTGCAGTACCATTTTGGCATTAAAAATTGAAAATTTTTTAATTTCTTTTAGAAACAGTCGTTAACTTAGTAGTTGCAGTAAAACTAAGCTGCAAAATTATTTTGAGCAACCATAATTGTAAAATTGCATAATAGAGTTAAACTGAACATAAGTTCTGATACAGAACAGTGCCTGGGTTTCTCCCATACATGATCACTCTCATATCAGTACAACTTGCCATTTAGTCATGCCATGCTGTATGTAGCCTTTGTTGTCTACCTATAATTGCAGCTGCAGCTTAAATCCTTCAGATTTACTTTTTTTTGGTGAAAGCAATAGGATTTATCTTATTTTCGATATGTTAAAGTCATGAGCTGTTATCAGAAAGTAGTGTCACATGGTGAATGAAGTAACCACTATTCGTAAATTCTTAGCATCTTCTCAGTGTACTCCTCTCTAAATGAGTAGTTCTAGCCAAAGCTCCACTCAAAATCAGATCAAGGTTCTGTTTTGCTTTCCTTCCCTGAAAAAATCAGCTGGAAACTGATCCCTGAGTTTGAGTGTGTGGCTACCTAAATTGTTTAAATGCAGTGAGTGTCAAACTAAGTAGTGACATCATTGCAGCTTCAGTCAATCAATTCATAAACTGTGCAAGAAAGGTGGGAAATAATAATGAGATAAGAATTATTTATAATACACTTTGCAATGCAGCTGATTTTAAAGAATTCATCAAAAATCTGAGTTTACTTAAATGTTACTATTCTTGGAGTGATGGATTTGAAATTTGCCTCTCATAATGCATTATAAGCTTTTCACATTTTCAGAAGAGCTCCTGTTTTCACTTTTGAAATACCCATTATGTCCTTGAAGGAAAAGATCAGCTATGTATTCTTGTATTTTATTATGTAAACAAAAGGAATATGCTAGCTAAATGATTTCTTTCTTTATCTCCATTATTGATGACATTTGTTTTTGTTTCACTAAAATATAAATTAATTAATATGAAAGCTGCTACTTAATGATTGATAGTTGATCCAGAAATTATGACACTTTATAAGCGTTCATTTCCCTCATTATCCTTTCAAGAAATCTAGTTATCCAGCAAATCAGTCAGAATATTAGGCATGCACAATCTTTTTTTAAATCATGGCACAAAATAGAAGTAACATTTTGCCAAGGTAGTTTTTCATCATCTGTTGGTTGTAGGTGTAGTATTTAATTTCATTTGATAGCCATGTAGGGAATAAGATGGAACCCACTGCTGTGGTCACCACTTTGGTCACAGAGCTGTGAACACCAGTTTGGTGACCTTTTGCTCCATAACATCTAGACAACATTCTTCTGCACTGGGGTACCAGATTGGATTTTCAAAAATGTAATGTAGAACAAACACTTACAAAAAAAAAACTTAGAACCATTTTTAAATGTAGATTTTAAAGCACTGCATCATAGATTTCATTTCAGTTCCCTTCATCTCTCTGTGACCTCAAGTGCTACAATTGAAGATACAACTACAATGGAGGAGTTTAGTCAAGTGATTCAGATTTATATTTGGTTTCCTCCTCCGTTTTTATCTAACGATGTCTGCAAATGCAGGCCAGCATTATTTCATGTTGCTATGCCAGGATAGCCTTGGCCTGTCAAAATGTTGTATTACAGCTTGTATAAAAAAACTTTAGAGGCCCACTTGAGATTTGTAAGGTTACTTGCAATCCAGACCCCTCATCACAAACACAAGAGGATGGTTCCTTCTCCATCCTGTTACCTAAAAGCATTATTACAACTGGTCAACCTATGGCTTTATTCTCATTTACTCCAATGTCTTTTGGTTTTAAGAAATAAATATTTATAATTTTTAAAAATGGCAGCATTGTCAATACGCCTGGAAAAACATCTATTTAAATACATAATATGGCAGATAATAACATCTGGGCAACATTTCAAATAATTTCACTGGTTGAAATTTCATTAGATTACTCAATCAGTTTCTCTAGGTTTTTTCCTTTTATGAGGGTTTGTGTGTTTTTGGTCATTAATACCATCTGAAACACAAATATATATGATTGCTAAGCTATTTTTCAATATATTTTCAAATTTAAAATATTTTATGTTAAATTAAAAGAATACAAAGCAACTGTAAATTATTTATGTTTTTTTCTGACTTTCGTTCCTATTCTTTTATATCAGCACATCAATTACTAGAGGAACATTTTTGCATTTTGATATTGAATTTTAATTCACTGATTTAATTAAAGCTCAAGAGTATAATCTTTGTGAGCAAATTTATTTCATAAAAATTTCTTGATTAATAGATTTTCAGGGGTGCTCTACTATCACCAGGAGTTTCTACTTTCACCAAAAGAGCAAAAAATAATTTACCTGAATCATTAGCAAACTAAGGGAAAAAACTGCATGCTGGCCAGAGCACTATGCTGCCTGAGTTGCACCAAGTGTTATACTAAAAAGGAATAAGCAAAATACAAGTTACTGCATATTTTTCACTTAGGAGCTTGAGAGGGGAAATATTGCTGCCACAGAGACCACTTTCCTTCCTATCCCTTTAGAGGTTGACTACAACAGGTTGACTACAACATGCTCAAATTATACTGCAAGAAATATACCTAAGGATATAATTTCTAAGTGCTGTGAATACTTTGACTGTTGCCACAATCTGCAAAAAATATATATTATATTCAGTAATTTAGGCAAATTGAAGGAGGTGAAGAAATGTTTCAAATCTCACTAGAAGACAGAAACAATGTGAAGAAATGCTATTTATGCATCCTGGGACAAAAGGATAAGCTGTCCTTAGACAGAAAAGAAACTTTCACCTCCTCTGCTGGTCTTGTACCCCCTTCCCACCTTTGTTTTTACCCCCACTCAGCCCTTACATTTTATTCCATTAAGCACTATTTAATATTTATTACTTAGTTCAAGGTGGAGATGTTAGTCATTTTTAGAGATGGGATTGTGTACTTGTGTCAGCATGCTTGCAGATGATGCCTAAAACTAAGGTTGCTTCTCAGAGCGGCTCTGACTCAGGCAGTGTGGAAACAGGTTCACTCTTCCAAGGAGCACTCTGCATAATGAAATTCCTGGGCTGACTGCACAATAAGTGCTTTTGCTTCATCACAGTCATGCTTTCTTACATCATTACAGTTAAATTTCCAGGCACCAAAACCTACATTGACCCTGAAACCTACGAGGACCCAAATAGAGCTGTCCATCAATTCGCCAAGGAGCTAGATGCCTCTTGTATTAAAATTGAGCGTGTGATTGGTGCAGGTAAGGCTGCCGTGGCTTCCTGATTCAACTGTTCCATTTAGCGGGGATCGAAACTCATACATCATAATGACAGGCAAATAATTATACCTCAAGTATAGAAGAACTTTTTGCATTTGCTAGAGTGGTTAAGAGCAGTGAAGCTGCACTCACTTCTAAAATGTAAAGAACAAACAGGGGAAAAGCCCAACAAAAGAAACAAATAAATGAGTAAATTAAAAGTCTTGCTTGACATTGAAAGCTTGTTGGTTTCTAATCCTGTATCTGCTGTTAAAAATGGAACTGGGGGGAGTGGGCCAGTTTTGCTGCCTATTATTTACTGTCAGAGTAAAGACGTTAGGCATTTGTGCAAATTCTGCTCACTTGCCTTTTGCAAGAGGGCTTTTTGACCTCTGAAGCTTCGTTCATGTGAATAAGGAAAACTGATTGCAGCACAAAATCTTAAATAGAGACTAGGAAGGTCTTGTTTCTGTATAACAAAATCTTCCCTAAGGCTGTTTTTTCTTCTACCATTTTTCTTTTTGATATTTTATGAATACAAAAAGTTATTGTTTAACTTCTTATGACTGATTGTAATTGCTTCAGCACTACATTGCTTTTCTTCCTCTTGAGCTGTCTACCACCTACTTAAGCCATAGTGTTCATGCTCTAAAAAGGCAGTTTCATTTGTTTGCATTAATAAGATATATGACATTTTTATTGCACTACTCCATGTAGTGAAATTAAGTTTCCATGGGTAAGAAAAATATCAAATACTTTGGATTCCTGGAGGAAAGGTTCATTTGCTTTCCTGTTGTTTTATACAAGTATTAGTAGAATGCTTTCTAAATCACCCTGTAGTTTGGCACTGTAAATTACATACTGCGGTATTATTTAAAAACAGGACAAGAAATATCTCTAAAATAAGCTGGTTTACCTGTAAGAAAATCTTTAGACTTAGAATTCACTCCTTTTCAAAGTAACCCCACTCATGTTGAATCATGTCTCAATCAAGGAGTAGTAGCATTGAAATTAACCACACTACTGAGCAAATTATTCCTTCAGATGAGTAAGAGCATAAGAATTTAGCCCTTGCTAACTAGGAATTTTTGCGAGGCTAGAATGGCAGCATCTCCTCTAATAAATACACAAGACACAAGATTAGCATAGACAAATTGTGGAGCTTTATTTTTTGCTCTGAGTTAGAAAGCTACTAGTATAGCAACAGTTCAGAGCACAAAGATATATTCCATTGGATTTTGCCAATGCCTTCTGAACAAAATGCTGAAAACACTTGAGCTGCACAGTATACAGTTTAAAATGTATTTTCACTGTTATGACAAATTCCAGAATGTTATTTTGTTGACTGCAGTTGAATTTATTCTTGATTTTAATGAGTATAACTAATAGCAAAAATAACTAACGTGTGTCAGTAGTCATTCAGACTAGAAGTGCAATGGTGAAAGCATATTGTGTGTGGCATTTAGCTATGGCTTTAACCTGTTAATGTAAATAGCAAACCGGAATGAAATGAAATGCAGTCCAGGAAAACAGAATGTTAAAGACCCAAAGCAGCAGCTGAAACTCATACATCAAATAAGAATATGGAATTTCTTTTAGTGACAGCACCAGAAAAGCCACTTAGCTATCTCAATGTGCATCAGCAATGCTGGCTGCATCAACTATTGAGTAGTACCATGTCTCTCAGACAAACACGGTGCAAGTATGCTTGTGCTTAATTTGCATGAGGGATATGTGCTTTCCTTGCCAACATTTTCATTACCATCCCGCTGTGGCCACCTGTCAGATACGGAATATGGTGTCCACTATGTTAAGTTGTTCATACCACACATCCTTTGTTTTAGCCTCTGCCTTGTTGACATGCTGAGCTAGTGGCTGTGTGGCTGTGCAGTATTCCCACTCTTGTTGTCATATTTTCCGGTTCATTTTTGGGCATCATTTCAGCTGAATATACTATTTTCTTGGGAATAAAAGTAGTTCATTGGCTAACATCCTGGCCTGAAATGCATAACATACAAGTTCAAGTTTCTGGTTTGCTGGAGTGTGCATGATTTGCTTTTGGAAATCAATCAAAATCAGATCACAGAGAACTGGAAAGGAGTTAAGCCCTAGTGTCTTCTGTGCCAAGTATCCTAATTACCTGGCTCTGAAATATCACAGACACACACTTATGCTCATGTCTTGTTTTCGGTGTGGAAAAAAAAAAATTCAAAGAACTGCTAGAGAAAATTGTTATTCTTCAGTAAGTTCTTGAGGCTAGGGGTTATGAGTGAGGTGAGTGATGAATTCATTAATAGTCATCCATGTTGCTAATGAAGTGCAGGAGGGAGGTTACGGCACCAAGCTAAGGGCATGAGCATCTAGTTGTTGTGTATGTAACAGCTATGCCTCATGGTATTCATAGCTATGACATGGCTATTTAGACCTTGACTTCAGTGCCCAAGGGCAGTTGAGGATAATGTGCAGGCAGGAACACTTGTCTGGCCAATTAGCTCAGGTGCAGCACAGTATTAACAGAGGTATATGGAGTTGATTTCAGCTAACCTTGATTCAGCCAGCATAGTGCAGTAGGGAGAGGAATTTGATTCTGTATGCAGTCACCTCCTATAAGATTCATAAAACAAGCCATACTGAGTGGAGATTTGTCCAGACAAGTCAGTTGGAAATATTAAGTCATGGTCTAAGTTCTACCTTTCTGACTGGAGAACTCCAAAACCGATACCCAAGTACTGCTTTTTTCTTTCCCCAACCTCTTCTCTTGGGGCTGTCAGGAGAACCATAGTGTTTGAATGCTGACAGTGTCCTAAACAAGATTTTTCAGAGCCCATCCATTAGGACACTTCAACATCTATCTCTTCAGGCATTCAGACCCATTTCCAAGCATACCTCTCTCCCCTGCCAGCCAGACATCTTGACAGTGTATATGTGCACTTAAGTTCTATGTCCCAAGAGGACTCTCTAATAAACTCTCTGTGTCTTACCTCATTCAGTCATTTTTTTCAGCACTCCTCCTAAAACATGTCTTAGATGTAGGTGTGTCTGCATACTTGTGTATACATAAGAGCTTAATGTTAAGGCGCTACACAGGTATGCAAGAGATAAGTTTCTGACTTGATTTGATTTGGAGGAGGGCCTTGGAACTACATCTCCCATACTCCAGATGAATTTGCAAAGTACAAGATTATTAAATACTTTTGCGATGAATCTTTCTCTTTAAAGATATGTTCCCCTTTATTCAGTATGTGTTACTACCCTTTTCTTCTATATTTACAAAGATATTTTTCTTCCTGGCTGCAGTATTGGATAACTCACTTTGTTTCTCTTCTTATATAGCTGTGAGGCTAGGGACGATCCTTAAATCGTTCATAATCTCATTAATATCGAGGTAGATGTATTGCCATTCAGCACCACATATCACGTTTCCGTCCTCTTTCCTGTCTGATGGAGTCCAGTAACTTCTTTCCCAAATTTGGTTGTTACTGGTTTTTTTTGTAGTCTTTCTGGCTGTTTCTTCTTTTGTATCACATGCTTCTTCAAGTTCCATTGTCTGTTAGTTCAGAACCTTTTACAAACTTGCAGCATTTGCTTATGTTTGTTTAATGTAACAAAATTGTTATAAGTCACACCTTTCATTTCATAATCTGCAAAGTAAATTATCTTGCTTGAAGGTAATAATGTCATGCTTCATTTAACACCATAATGATGCTAAATTAAAAGCAGATCTTCAAGACCTGACTCTTGAAAGAAAAAAAGCCATTTGATCTAAAGATAGCAAGGAAACAATGTAGAGCAGAATGACATTTTCGCTTAGAAATGGTATTAGTAATTCTATAATAGTGTTTTCTTATGAAAAGCACTTCATTTTTATATCCTGATTTTGAAACAAATGCAAGAAATTGCTAACAATTTAAAATATTCAAATAACAGTCTTGTTGACTGGGTTAACATGAAGTGTTTATTCCGTAAGGGTCAGTAATTCAAGGTAATCCATTTCAAATATGAGCAATCACATGCAAGATTTAAACACACACTTAGGCGGTGAGTTGAATCAAGGCCTAAGGAAAATATTGATAGTTGGAGCAATTCAGCATTGATCTACTTCATTTTAGGAGAGTTTGGTGAAGTGTGCAGTGGGCGTCTAAAGCTTCCTGGCAAGAGAGACGTTGCAGTAGCCATAAAAACTCTGAAAGTTGGCTACACTGAAAAGCAAAGGAGAGACTTCCTGTGTGAAGCAAGCATCATGGGACAGTTTGACCATCCCAACGTTGTTCACTTGGAAGGGGTTGTTACCAGAGGTAAGCAGCAGCTCGATCTGTCAGTCAAATAACAATGCCATGGCAGAAATTACTCAAGCTTATTCATGGTCAAAGATTCAAATTATAAACAGACTGTACACTCCTAATGGATTTTCTCCTGATGCGTAACTAACTAAAACAATACTTACTTTATGCTACAACCTGAGGAAAAAAAAATTTAGATGTACGCATGATTAAAAGATGAAGTACTTTGAAACATATTATTTTTCTAGTTTCATTTAGCCTCAAAGACCATGCAGAGAGATAAGGTTTCTTATGTCCTTTCAAATTATCTGAAGTGTCATTATTCCAGAGTCCTATTCACACAGGAGGAGGTAGGAGGACACACTGACTTTTTGATTTGTATGGTTCGATTTTGTGAATCATGACCACATTCCATTAAGATATTTAAGAAATTAGAGCTCAGTAACAGTACTGGAGGGCTCAGAAATGCTCGTTGTCTCAGCGATTCAGTCCTGCAAAGGAATAACGTGTGTTTTATCAAAAAAGGCACTCCATTTCTCTTTTCTTTCAGGGAAACCAGTCATGATTGTAATAGAATACATGGAGAATGGGGCCTTAGATGCATTTCTTAGGGTGAGTACCAAAATGAAAAGTTATATAAACATATTTAGAGTGACATATATTACATAACGACACTTTTAAAAAGTATGGTTTATATATGTGATATGTACATGTATACCTGCACAATATTAATATAATTAAAATGGTTTTCAGGCTGAAATGGAGCTTGACAAATACTAGCAGTTCTCTGTGTTATTTCAGCAAAACCAGGTCAAAAATGAGAGGATCAGATAAGATCATATGGAGACATTCTAGGAATTTATGTGATTTAATATGGCATAAACACAGTGGGTTTTATTGTTGCCACCAGTTGGAATTAAAATCACTGATACATGAAGCCCAATCTTCTGCGTTTTGGGTGCAGAATTTTATTGTGTCAGCATGATGGAAATCAGAATAAAAGAATCCCTAAATGAACTGTGGTTCTGTTTAAGAGACAAACGACGGAAGAAGAAATGCAAGTTCCCAACAATTCATCATTTTTTAAGCATGTTCTGAACTTGCCAGTTCTGACTCCTTACCAGGTATGCAATACAGTGTGAGATGATGTATAAACACTCTATAGAGAACAGAAATATTGTTTGATAAACTCCAAACTATCAATAAAAATTATCAGTAGCTAAGGTTCCAAAAAGGAGATAGTTCTTATTTTCTTGATACAAATAATTACACTGCGAGATGAAGAGCATAGAAGCAAACTATAAGAGCTTCAGGTAATCTTCAACAGGTAATCCCTTAGAAGCAATTTACCATGAATTAGACAAAAATGGATAGTTTTTTAGATGAGCAAGTTTTGCTACAATTAGTAGATTAACTACTCACACATTTCTTAAGTGGATTTACTGCTTTATGTCAGAAGAAATTAAAACTTGTGTTTGAAGTAAGTTTCTTTGCCCTAGGATGAATTGCCACAGAAAGAGTAAAGAAGTAGAAAGCTGAAGATGTAAAACTAATTCTTATTTCTCTTCTCAGCTATACTAACAAGAATTGCTGCTCCTTTCTTCCCTCCAGAAACATGATGGGCAATTTACAGTCATTCAACTAGTGGGAATGTTGAGAGGAATTGCTGCTGGAATGAGATATTTGGCCGATATGGGATATGTACACAGAGATCTTGCAGCACGCAATATTCTTGTCAACAGCAATCTTGTTTGTAAAGTATCAGACTTTGGCCTTTCCAGAGTTATAGAAGATGATCCAGAGGCTGTCTACACTACAACTGTAAGAAAAATTGATGGGTTTTCAGAGTTTTGAGATGTGGTTATTAAGAAGCAGCATATCTTCTAGAGAGTATAGATAAGAGAAATACATTAATTGCTTGGGAAATGTTAGCCAGTCAAAAGGAAGAGTCCCTGCAGAAATACGACTGTAATTAGGAAATAATATTTTTGTAAGAACATACATTTGTATTTGGTAAAGTTCTAAACATTTTATACAGCATTTTCATTATTCCCTTCCTCGTGATTTTCTGTTTGAACAAATAAGGAAGTTTTACCCACAAAAATTTTAATCATCTAATTTACTGTGAGTCAATTAAAATCTTTGTAGGCTATTACTGATTTTCAGACTAGATTTATCTCCCCAAAAGGTTGACTAGCTTGAGGCTAGACTGTGACAAAGCTCAACTCCTATATTTTCCCTTGCTTGTGGGTGGGACGCTTTTCTTAAATACATAGTCATCAGGCACACTGTGCTCTTTACTTTTTGTTGAGCCAGCTCCACTTTCCCACCCATGGGGCCTCGCTGTACCTATTTTCTCATGCTGAGGGAAGGAGGGGCCCCTGGAATCTGCTCCAGCAGGCACAGGGATCCAGGAAACCACACCAGTGTTCACAGCTGTCACTCCTGCCATTGGGCTCTAAGTGGAATCCTGGTTTAAAAATGTCAGACTGAGACTTCAGAGTAGACATATGACAAGTCAATGGGATTTATATGCACAGGTTGAGATTCACTTCACCTACCTTCAACCAGTCAGGAATTAAATGAATAGTGTAAATCAGACATCTAAGCACCCCTTTAGCATCAATGAAGGGATAAGCTCTTCCAAAGAAATACGTCCAACTTAGCTTAGACAATTATCTGAGTTTTCATGTTCCAAGTGTTTTAAGAGGCTAAACTTCCTTAGAGAGCCTTGCAAATTCTGTAATTGGTCAACCATAGTCGATAAGTGCTGCTTTTGATGTTGATGGAAATAAACACATTCTATTGAAGATGATACAAAAATTTGGGGAGAAAAAAAAAACGAGAACCTTCTTCTTCCTTTTTTTGTGTGTTTGTCTGTTTGTTTGTTGTTTGTTTTTGTTGGTTTTTTTTCATAGGGTGGAAAAATTCCAGTGAGATGGACGGCTCCAGAGGCCATTCAGTACCGCAAATTTACATCAGCCAGTGATGTGTGGAGTTATGGGATAGTTATGTGGGAAGTAATGTCTTATGGAGAACGACCTTACTGGGACATGTCAAATCAAGATGTAGGTTTGTTTGCTTGTGAATGTGTGTGTGTGTTAGTGTGTTACTAAAACCAAAATTACTTATTGCAAACACATACGCATGTATTTCACTATAAATGCATAAAATGTTGGTATGGTTCTCACAAAATGAAAAAGTTGCAGAGCTTTCACTTTTTACCTACATGGAAATCTTTCCTGTGCCACATGGATATTGTAGGTTTCTTTTCTGAGTATCAAGTAAAACTGGATCATTAATATGTGCTCTTCACTTTATTATGTTTAAGCATGGAAAGAATGAATTTTTTTTCCAATAAAAAGTAATTCTAAGGTTTCTGACCTTAGAGCAATGATTAATCAGTCAAAAAAAGTTGTTAAAAGTCTGAATGGCAGTTAATGACCTACTTTGCCTTTTTCAAGTTAATTATGCTGATTTAACCATACTCTTGTTTGCATAAAATATGATCCAGAGCAACAGGTCAGCAGTAATAGAACAGATGGGTGTTAATTTTGATTTCTGACAGGAGTATCTATTAATATAGAAATTACATAGGAAAAAGCCATACAGGTGCAAAAGTTGTCAGAAAGAGTATCAATTAAAGTTCTTCACGTGGGGGCTTGAGTGTTCTTTTAATTGTTATTTTAATTTTTTATTGAATTATCAACACCAAAGTTAAAAAAAGAAAAGATAAAAGTGTAAATGATGAGTCAGTTTGGCACAGTGCAAAGTTGTTAATATTTGACAGGTCTCAGTGTCAAAGATTTCATGGACTGTCAAAATATGGGCAAACAAGTCCTTGGGGTAGAGGAAGAGAAATATTTACATTCCCTAGACACTCCGTAGAGTTTCATTTCTTTTGACACCTTCCTTCTGTACTAGATTCAAACATAAAAGAAGTCTGACAGGAATATAAGATGCCTCAAAGGCAAACCTTATCTATCTTTCAGGCAACAATAAGGAAAAACTTTTAAACAGGGGAGAAATTTTGGTATTTCCATGCTTGTTGTTGGATTTTGAAAAGTATTCCTTCTATTGAAAATTGCATGTAAAGCACATGGCTGAGCCTTTTTGAAAAAAAATAGCTAATTACAACTTCTTACAGTTTCATCCATTTTTAGCAGCTTTCATGATAATCTTCAATAGCACATAGTTAAAAGATGCATCAGCTGCTTGGTAAAATACTTTGAAATATTCCTGTAAGCTGTGATCTTCAGGCATGTCCTCCCAAAACATATGCACATCCTACCAATCTCATAGATTAATCTATGATGCAAAAATTTAGAATCCCCTTATGATTTATTATTTATTCTCCTTCAAAGTTACCAGTGGGAATATTTAACTGAAATAAAAAATGCTAAATGTGTCCTTCTAATTTTGCATATGGATTCAGTTTATATATCTTGAGCGTATCATTTTGCCTTAAAAGTGCATGTGGGCATAGTCATAGACCAGACCAGATCTCCTAAAAAAATACATCTCGCTGACTTTAGACCTTAAATAGCATTTCTTTAATTCTGCCTTTCTTCCTTTTAAGTCATCGCTTTAGATTGATGGAGTATACAAATTTCTTTTGTGATCTCTCAAGAACAAGTTCTTTTAGCAATGACCTAGAGCTAGGGTGCACCGAAAGAACACTCATCCTACAAGCTCCCTGCAGAGGCACAGCAGGCTGACCACAGATAATTGACAGAGTTGTCCCAGCTTCTCTGAACAGTGGGCTCACCTCAGCTTAATCCTTGCTCCTAGGCCTCAATCCTCTATTTCCCATTAGACATACGGTGTTCTTGCTTTCATTCACTTATTGACTCCAGTAGAGATTATTTCTTCAGAAAAGGGAAAGAATTTAGGCTTATATATTTTTTCTTTGCTGTACTCCTGGATTTATTACCATTATTATAATTTGCATTATTATTATATACCCAAAAGCAGAGTTCTAACGTTACATTGTCCAGTTACCCGTATTTAGTACTTCATTGTTGGTATCCAGTATATAAAGTGAACAGACCTTCTCTATTCTGCTTTACATCCTCAGATAGCCTGATTATGATAAAAGCATACTTGAGTCTTAGCAGTATTCTCTTTTTGCAGTAAAAGCAGAATTTCAAAAACGAATCGTAGGAAATGTAAATAGTATAAATCAATTCTATTAGTAAGAACTCCAGCTGTGTTCTCTTTGTAGATTTGCTTATTTAAGAAAAAAAAAAAAAATCCTGCATCTATTTCATTATCTTTGAGTACTGATTTTTTGACACCTCTGGCTCCTTTTTAGCAGAGTGGACTTGTCTTACTTTACTTATCAATATTTTAAAATATTTTTTCAGTGTTTTGAATATTGGCAGAAATTTCATCCATCTCTAGCTGACTCATTATTTTATATTTCCAAGTTTCTCAAGAATACTCATCAGAGAAACTGATTCTGCAGTATCAAAACCTTTCAAAGGTTTCATCTTGATTTCCACTTCTCTTCAGGTTTCTCTGCAGACTGTAGTGAAGGGGGAAAACTCCTGTTTGTGATCCTTTCATTCATGTCTTCGCTGTCCCTTACATTCTTGGATATAGTTTTATGTAGATGTTTACCAGTTAATAAGGGTCTTAAATATTTGGATGGTTGTGTTGCTCTTGCTGTTACCTAACTTTTACATTCCTCACTGGTGATCTCTGTCTTCTGACCTCTTAGGCAATTAGTTCATTGGTGGTAAATCATATGTAGCATGCTTGAAGGGTTTAATACCTTTTGCCTTTTAGAAGGTCAGAAATTTCTGCAGTACTTTTCCCAGCACACCAGTCGTCCTGTACATACTGTAGCTTATTTTTTGCTTTTATTCCACTGCTACTTCTAAGTGTAAGGAGCTGTTATTTTGGTTTTCATCTTCATATAGCTCTAAAGAATCTTACGTTTTACTTTTAATGTTTTGTTTCCTATATAGTTCTATTCTTTCAATTTCCCTGTTCTTCTGCAGAAAACCTCTCTCCACACCCTCTCTGACAGACAACTTCACCTTCTAAAAGGTCATCGCACTCATTCTTCAAGGTGTGGATATTTCTGCAGGAGTTGAATATTTCTCAGTCATTTTTGAGCTGTAGGACAGTACTGTCATTCTAAATGTTCAGAGAAAAAGCTGTGTCCTAGGAAGATGAGGCAACTTCCCTGAGGTCAGAAGGACATTCTGTGACACAAACCTGCAGTCAGTGCCCTACCACTGGGTTATGCCTTACCTTTTCACAAAACTTCTTTTATGCAAAAGGTTTTGATACAAAACCTGGCTGGATTTCAGTCAGCTTTTTGAAGGTCGTTTTATATTGTCTGCAGTTCTGTCTACTTTGCAGTCTACTGCTTTTACATTTTCTCACACAACCTATGGAGTATTTTCTGTCTGAGGTTATTACTTTTACTAAAACCTGGATATTCAGTAACTTTGTTTATCATAACAGATCTACTTCCTAGAACTACATCCAGAACAGCTTCTGATCTTGCTTTCTGTACAAACCAGGGGAGAAGACAGTCCTATGCACTACCCTTCAGGAACGAGCACCCTTCCTTAGCAATTCTAATGCTGCCGTGTCAGTCAATGTCAGTATACTTGAAATCCCCCATGAACAGTATTTTAGCCCTTTTTCACTAGCTTTCTTTATCTGCCTTGCTTCCTGATGTGCTTTCTTATTCTGCCCTCAAGGTTTACAGCAGTTTGCTGTGATTTTACTTCATCTGTTTTTATTTTTTACTTAAATCCAAATGGACTTGGCTGAGGAAGTCAACAGGTGGATGTAATTCTTGGTTTAGACATTTATGCTCTCCTTCGATCATATCATCATCTAGCATCATCTCTTATTAAATCTAACTTTCTGTGGTATATTAAAATACCATTCACCCAGATCTTTCTCTCTCACATGGCACACTTCTGCTACTTTATCATTAATATAACATGGCTAGACACAGAATATAACTTTTGTCCCTACCAATTTCTGTCTGCTAAACATTTTTCTTGGATCTTTTTATAATACCTTCAGGCATTTTGTATTTTATATGTGCATGCACAGATCTCTTATCCATTTAAAACTCAGTTGCTTCTACCACACACTCTTTCATAAAAGCCTTGGGGCAAGTAATAAAGTTTTCTGAAATAACTCCATTTATCACTCTATCTGTTACTCCCTTGGTGAATTTAATTGTTGTTCCCTGCTACTCACTTGTCTAGTTAATTTAGCTATGTTCTGCACATATAGAACAATATGCTTAATAAGCCCAAAGATAAAGTTGAGGAAATTACTTGAAAACCTGAAGGCTAGTGTCAAAACAACGGACTCATATCTTTGCAACACTGATGGCAAATTTTAGTTTATTGATTTTTTTTTTTTTAAATTTATATTTTCTTATTTTTTTGAACTGGGTAGCAATATGTATTCTTTAAATGACTGTTGATGAAAAATAATTAACTATGTTGGCTACTAGGTTATAAAAGCAATTGAAGAAGGCTATCGTTTGCCAGCACCCATGGATTGCCCAGCAGGACTGCACCAGCTGATGCTGGATTGTTGGCAGAAGGAACGTGGCGAAAGGCCAAAGTTTGAGCAGATAGTTGGTATTCTGGACAAAATGATTAGAAATCCAAACAGCTTGAAAACACCACTGGGAACCTGTAGCAGGTAAGAAAAGCTTTAGTGTGTGTTCTTATGGTGGTGCATGTGGCTAGGTTCTGGATGTTCTGCTTGGTGGCTGGTTCCAGTTCACACTTACTTCATCTGTCTCCCAGTTCCTTCTTCTTTCTGTTCCCTGTTCTTCCCTTCCTTCATTTGCCCTTCTTTTTTTACCATACTGAACAAAACCGAAAAGGACTTTCTTAAAACAAAAAAAACAACCAAAATAAATTAAATATCATGGAACTAACCACATTTCTCTGTAAACTACTGCCTGTTCATCACTCTTTCCACACTCTTACCACTCGCAGTCTTTGTTTTCTTTTTTTCTTAAAATTGTAAAGTCTGGAGAGCAAGGATCATTGTCTATTGTAGTTTTATGTAATGCATCCTTTGCCCTAGGAATGGCCACGGTAGAAAAAGTAATTAACAATACTCACACTTGGCCAATGTACTTTGACATGCTACACTCTAGCATTTTCTGGCTTTAACTCCTTTCAATGATTGCATCTCATTGTATTTCATGGTGTAGTTTTTAATGGCTTCTTCATAAATTTCAGGTGAATTATTTAATCATGACAATCTTTTGATCTGCTAGCTAGATCACTGCATTAGGGAATCAACCGGCCTTAGTTCTGCTCCTGATTCTTCTACCGACTGATTTGCTGCGTGACCTTAAACAACTTACTTTGTGTCTCTGCTCTTTCCTTGTCTGTGTTTTGTCCCATCCAATTGAATAATGGGAATAGCTACCCCTATATTTTCTAAAATGAGTAAAAGAATAGCATCTTTATTTTACTCAGCAACTTAGTTGTAGCTGCTGTCATGCTAGGTAATAAGGTTGATTTTCTGTTGGTAACAGTAGTCCATTAGGCTGATTTTGCTCACTCTGACCTTTCATCTTTTACGTGAATAAGCTTAGGAAGTACATATTGTGAGCTACAGAGTAGTCAAGAGCTATTCACAGAATAATCTAAACTGTGTATAAAGGCCTATTACTTTCTACTCTTGACATTTTTAATACCCCAGACTTATTTGACTCTCACCTTGCTAAATACTCCCTGATGTTTTACTCTCTTTGGAAACAACTTACTTTCCTTTTTCCTTCTCCGTAGACCAATTAGCCCTCTTCTGGACCAGAACACTCCCGATTTTACCACTTTCTGCTCCGTAGGCGAATGGTTACAAGCTATTAAGATGGAAAGATATAAGGATAATTTCACAGCAGCAGGCTACAACTCTCTTGAATCAGTTGCCAGGATGACTATTGAGTAAGTTAGTACTGGGCATGTTTAACTTGCATTTAGGGAATTTTTAGGTAAAATAATAAACAATGTTCAACTCCAAAACTTTACCCTGAGTACAAACATGGTACCTGGGGTCAAACCAGCCATTTTAGCAGCTGACGATGTTATAGTAGAGCATCTGATGAAAGGGCAAATACCCTGCTACCTCTGTGTGGCATCACATGTTTCTGTGCTTTTCAGAACAATTGAAGTAACACCAAGGGACTGGAATTTGAGGGAGAATGTGACCCATTTCAAAGTATTTATACGTATAGGAAAATAACCACTTTGCCTCTACTACCTAATTGGTACCATTTTCCAGATGTGTACTAGGAAGATGTGGAATTTTCTTCTGATTGGCTGGGGGCTGTCTGTGTCCTGCAAGCAAGGAATTTGCATCAAGTCTGCAGAAGCAAAACAATTTTCTGAAGGCAAGCATGGCCTGTATCAGTACTGCCATCTTGAACAGGTCTTCTTGGCACCTTGCAAATAACTTTCTTAGCAACCGAGCTCATGGTTGCCAAATATATGTAAATCCTTTTACAGAGAGCAGTGGTTTTCTAAACAAGTTTCTGACCAATAATTCTCAAGTTTGCAACCCTATTCTTATCTGCCTGGTGTCACTAGGAGTCTCAGCCTATAGCTTGTGAACTGTCATCAGAGCCCACAAGCTTCTAGCACTAGTAGTGGTGGAGTTTAAACAACTGCTCCTCTTTTACTTGCATGATGGGTATGGGTCAATATGCAAAGGCTTTCTCTAGGCATCTCTTTAGGAAACAGAATATGATCCCCAAAATCTTGTATTTATACATTGTCCTGAAAGCCACCCAAAGTATTTTCCAACAGAAGTGCCTTTGTCTTCGGGTGTCCTTGAAAGCCACAATGAAAGATTATCATAATGCAAAACATACTGGCCTCCTTCTCAGAAGTGGAGACAGGCAGTGTAATTACGTGAGACTTGCCATGTAATTGCACTCCTGGCTGAGAGGTTGACCAGTGCCTCTATGAACTTCACAGTACTGAGGTGAGGTTCCAGCAGAGCTACAATGTCAGGCACCTGTAGCCCAGACCACTACGTAGCTTTGACTCACAGTTGAATACCATACAATAGCAGTCTAAGTTGAAAAATTAACAATGTACGCATTTATCTTCCCCAGGGATGTGATGAGTTTAGGGATCACGTTGGTTGGTCATCAAAAGAAAATCATGAGCAGCATTCAGACTATGAGAGCACAAATGCTACATTTACACGGCACTGGCATCCAAGTGTGATAGACATTTCTCCCTTATGAGGGAGGTGACAGACTGAGAGAACAGCACTGGCCTTCAGTATATATGAAGTGCTGCTAGAAGACACTTGATTTCCTGGGTCCTTCCTGCAGTGAATAGAAGAGCTACAAGAAGCACCTACAGACTTGAACTCCTAAGTGCCACCAGAATTTATGAAAAGGGAATTAGGATCCACCAGTGGTGGCAAGGAAAACAGCAGTGACAATAAACAAAGTACTACCTGAATAAACATACAAACACCTTGAGCTCTCTAACCTCCTTTTTATCTAATAGACTTTTTAAATGTACATAAAAATTTAAAAAAGAATATATTTGTCAGATAAAATCATGATATTATTGTTGAATTCAACAAAATATTTTCCTTAAATCTGTGATTTCTGAATCTTTTTTTAATCATTTGTGTTTATTCTTCATAAAGACTTTCTTTTAGTATGATGTTTATATCTTTGGACCTTTTTAGTGCTAATTCTATGACACATTACTACACTGGGTACCTCTGAAGGATTATTTGAGTTCCTAGAGATTTAAAAAGCATGACCAAGCAATGTATATCTATCCAAACTTTGGTATCCTTTTGTGCCATTTACTTTTGTTAAATCAACACCGTATTGACATGGCTAGCTAATTGGCAGGGAGTCAGGAAAATGCAAGTTGCCAAGAGCTCTGATATTTTTTAAAGAATTTTTTAAGGTTACACATATACTATCTTTTAAAAGAAAATAAAAGAGAAAAAAAAAAGTAAAGAAAAAGAAAAGCAATAATGACCCCTAAGTAGTTCTAGGCACTTTTAGCAAATTGTTTGCAAGATGGTTTTAATGGGCTAGAGTTAAAATGAGATATATTCTAAGATGTAGATCTACAACTGTAAACCTGCTGAGACACTTCATTGAATGGGCAAGTGATTGTAGGAGTGTCTCTGAACACAGGTGCAGTTCTCCAGTGTTAACTAAACCATTTAATCTGAGTGCATCACATTTTTTTTCAGTACTCTGCATTAGCAAATCTGAGAGAAATAGCTGGTGTATATTTTCTATGAGTTTAAGCCGTACGCAGTCCAGCTGTCAGAATAAGGACATATGAGAACTGTAGAGCATGAGACAAGGGGCAGTTCAAAATTTTCAATTTTTTTAACAAGCTTTTGCTGCTCTGAATGAACATGCGTATGACACAACAGTCATTCTTCAGGAACAGAGATGCAAGGGTAGTTGCTCAATGGAACATGTTTTTACACCATTTACTTATATATGAATTTTGTTTGATTAAAATATTTAATTACCATAAGCAATAATGAATATTTATGAATTTATGAGTATTGCAAGAATGTATATGAACCGGAGAGAAAAATGCTTTAAAAAAAAAAATCTGAAAATTGTGAACTACCCCAGCAATGAAATGCTGTATTTCCAAAGAGAATTGGGCTGCTTCTATTGATTTTGATAGAGAAAGATCCCAGGGATCAGTCAGAAATTGGTCTGGTTTGATAATGTGGGCATCCACACAAAAAAAATAAAAACAAAAGAAAAACCTTGTAAATGTTCCTTTGTAAAACTTGTAAATTTTATTTATACTGTCTTGTTTTGTACACACATTTATGTGTAGTGAGCTCTGACTACATTGAAAATGCACTATATTTTTCTATTTTACTTGCAGAGCATCACAAACAAACATGTATATTCAGTGCTACATAATGTGTTTTCCCACATTTAGGACCAAAGATAGTTATCAAAAACTTAAACGCATCATTTTCCCCCTCCTTTTTTCTCCCCCTTTTTAGATCACTGTACAGTGTTATATTTGTCATTTTATTTATTTGATTGATTAGAAAAATCAGTTTGGTTATACTAATTTTTTGTCCCCCCCCTTGCCTTTGTTGAAGAAAATCTGTAAAAAGCTTTTAACAAGCATAATCCCGTTACATAGACACTTCCATTTGTAATCTTTGTAATAGACTGTAAATATATTTTTGGAACTATAATGCAATGTGCATAAGGGTTATTTTTCAGTGTCCATATATGATTGTTTATACAATTCACAGCACTTTACAGTCATGCTGAGAAGCCTAATTTATTGCCTGGATTTGGGCAGAGTAAGAAAAAAAGGTGACTATTCTTATTTCGTATTAGACTGTCATTCAGTAAAAATGGAGTTATTTTCATGTATGCAGCTCAAGAGGGTTTTTTAACTATTAAAATTAATTTTCTAGAAATGCTGTAGAAGTAAGACGCAGAATAGACTGCATGCCCAATCTTGAAATTAGTGCACGCAAGCACTCAGCCAAGGCACTTCAAGTAGCCATTGGAACACAACTAATAAACATCCATTTTGTGTTTTAACAAATGATAAGTGCCTCACTACCGGGGTGAGCATCTGTGGGCTACTGTGCAGGGTGCTTGTCAGTTTTGCTGCTGCTCTAGGCACCCAGCTAAGAGTTTAGGAGTCTTAACTTCAGACACCTGCTTCCTTATAAATCTCGGCTACTGTTTCTAAGGGCTTGGTGATTAAAGGTGCAGTGCAGCAATGCTGGTATTGCTGAGAACCTACAAACCCTAAATGCAAAAGAATTGAGGACAGGTTTCACCTTCAGAACTTGTTCAATATTCTGAAGCACAGAGACCTCAAAGCATGTGTGCTGACTTGGGCTTACACATGTACAAGTGAGAGCCCTAATGGTGTTTCTTCCTTAATTTTCCTTGTTTGATTTAAGCCATCTTCTTTGAATAGTAAATGCATTTTAGGATTCATCTATATACCTTAACTGCCTTAATGTTGCCACAGATTTTTACACATTTGAAAGTGGTAGAGTAGACCCAGAAAGCACAATCGCGATCAATCGCAATCAATCAGATAACTTATCTATGTGTTCAGAACATTACAGCAATTTAAAGCACATGCATGTAAATGGATTTGTAGCTGGTAGAGCAGCAACATATTCACATTGGTTGCAGTTCCCCAGGTTCCAGGAAAACACAGTCCAGGGCAAGACAAATAAAGTGCCAGAGGAAGTTGATGTTCATGGGAGGAACTGAAGAAAAAGTTGGGTCAGGGGGATAATTAAAGGACAAATTATGAAAAAAAAAAAAAATCTCAGTTCTGGCTTAATTTCATTGATTTTGGAAATTGTGCATTGCTAACGACAGATTATCAGGCTGTCAGTGAGGCTGATCCTCCTTGACTTTATCCACCTACAATCATCTGGAAGAGAGATGCCTAAAAAAAAAGCAGGATGAATCTCCCTCTGGGAATGCTTATCCATTACCTGTAGAGGGAAACCAGATGATTATCTTAAATTAGGTGTCTAATATCTATATAGTTAAAGTTAGGTAAAGTGATTCCTACACTATCTGTCCTTGGCTGCTACAATTTCCCTTGCAAGCTGAGTGTCATAGAAAGGCAGCTCCTCCACCACTGGTATATCCCAGCATGTGTTTAAACCGGGCTTTATCACAGAGAGAGGTGATTTTTTTTTTTTTAAATTCAGAGGTTTGTAACAGGTCATCTAAATGCTTTTTGTATATGGATATCAATTCTTGAAAATTTTTGTGATTGTTCTGAGGAAGACCTGCCTAGTAAATTACAGTTATTTAATATTTTAAATAATCAAAAGTATTTGCTGACATACTGCTTTAGTCCAGAGGTTATGTGATCAGATATGATAGCTGCTGTTTGCAAAACTATGTTTATCTAAAGCCTTGTCA